GAGAATGTGACAGGTTCGATGACTCCGTCTCTTTGGAGTCGATCGAGTTCATCCTCCACTTGTTGTTTCATGGCAAAGGGTACCGGTCTGGCTTTGCAGAATTTCGGCTTTGCGTCATCTTCTACGCTGATGTGCACCTGTTGACCTCAACAAGTTACTACAAGCAACAAGTGCGAAACCCGACAAGAATTTGTGGCCCAACAAGAAACATCAAAGATCTCGCCTGCACTTCCCATCCCAGTTTGGTTTCATACTGACCACGAGGCTGTATCATGGGAATGAACTTAAAAGCCAAAATCAACCAAAAGAAACCTCGCAAAATATTTCTTTTCAGCAAAGGTAACCACAAAAATTTTCATGAGGACATGACAACCTTCAGTCAACAGTTTCTAAACAATGATTCCACTACCAGGTCGGTTCAAGAAAACTGAACACATTCCATCAAGGACCACCAGCTCACGGCATAACGTACCTTGGGTAAACCAGCACATCAAGCATTGGATCAAGAAAAAACAACGTCTCTTCAACCTAGCCAAAGCTACCAACAGACCAAAGGACTGGACCAAATTCCGTGACTTCAGGAAGTATGTACAGAAGGAAATTAAAAGCGCCTACTGGAAATACACAAACAGTCTTAACTCTGATCCAAGCGATAAAAACCAAAAGAACTTTTGGAAGTACATCAAATCTAAACGTTATGATTCAGCTGGGATTTCTACCTTGAAATCTGGGGATAACATCACTACCAGCAGCAAACAGAAGGCAAACATCCTCAATGCACAATTCCTATCAGTTTTCACCACGGACGACACATGTCCCTCTGCCACCGGTAGATATTCCCACCCAGAAATTGCTAACCTGACCATCTCTGAGCAAGGGGTTCCTAAACTTTTGCAGTCGCTCGACGTTACAAAGGCTACCGGTCCAGATAACCTCCCTGCAAGAATACTCAAGCAACATGCAAGTAATATAGCGCCTGTTCTTACTAAAATCTACCAACAGTCACTGGATACAGGAGAAATCCCACACGATTGGCTCATCGGAAATGTGTCACCTATACTATCTACAAAAAAGGGGATCGTTCGAAACCTTCAAATTACCGACCAGTCTCCATCACTTCTACATGTTCCAAAATGCTTGAGCATATTGTCTTAAGCCACATCATGGATCATTATGAAGAAAATAACATCTTGAACTCAGTTCAACACGGTTTTCGCCCTGGGTACTCCTGCGAAACCCAACTAATCACGACAGTGAACGATATCGCTACTGCCATGGACCAGCGAAAACAAGTTGACGCCATCATACTATACTTCTCCAAGGCCTTTGACAAGGTCCCCCACAAGAAACTCCTCTGTAAGCTCCATCATTACCGTGTCCAAAACCACCTCCACAAGTGGCTTCAAGTCTTTCTTACTGATAGACAGCAAACAGTTGTGGTAGATGGGGAGGCCTCAGACTGGTGCCATGTCAGTTCAGGAGTTCCTCAAGGAACGGTTGTCGGGCCCCTCCTCTTCCTCACCTTCATCAATGACCTCCCGGATTCGATTCAGTCTAGTATTCGTCTCTTCGCAGATGACTGTTTACTCTACAGAACAATCGCCTCTGCTGAAGATAGTGCTATACTACCGGTACAACAAGATCTCAACAGTCTAAAGTCATGGGCCGACAAGTGGCAAATGCAGTTTAACGTCGAGAAATGTCACAGCATGACCATATCTCTCCTCCGTAACAACATCGAGTCCACCTACAGACTAGGTCTGGATGCTTTGACAATGGTTGCAGAACATTCCTATCTGGGCCTCTACTTCTCACAAAAGCTTTCATGGAACAAACATATTGACAAAATTACTAATAACGCCAGTAAGATTTTGGGTCTCGTTCGCCGTAACTTAAAGCACTGCTCCAAAGACCTGAAGGAATGCGCATACACTGCCTTAGTACGTCCGCGTCTGGAATACTGCAGTTGTATATGGGACCCGTATACAACAAAATAGAAGCCATACAAAGACGAGCTGCAAGGTATGTCCTCAACAAATATCACCCCACTGAAAGCGTGTCTTCTATGATCAAGGGTCTAAAATGGGAGTCACTGGAAGCCCGTCGAAGAAACGCCCGACTATCATCAATGTACCGGATCTCTCACAAGCATCTACCATCTCTCAGCCCACACGACTTTGTAACTCCAATAGCCATTCCTGAACACGAAGTTATCATCAGTTTAAGTATTGTCACATATCTACTCGCACCAACGTCTACAAATACTCCTTGTTTCCAAGAACAATACCTACTTGGAACAACCTCCCTGCATCAGTCACCTCTGCTTCCTTTTCCCAATTCAAAACTACCCTCAGTCTACCTTAGATATTCATTGGTCTTACGCGCAACCTTGGTGTGATATCCCGATGTGGGGACTTTGCCAAGTATCAACGTAGAAGTAGAAGTCATTCAAATCTGAACTACGTAAAAGGTTAAGTCAGTAAATTTTTGCAAAATATATGTAATTTTTTTCACTGTTGTTACTGAGATACAAATCTAAATCTGTGCTGATCTACAGATTAAACAAACTTGGTAACCATAATAATAAGGAGCCCGATAGGAATTTTCCCGTATTTTCTCCAAAGAGGTTTTTTTCGCAGGCTTTTTGCCCCTCCCGTAATCAGCGAATATATATCATTATCAGGCTTCCAGCGGTAAAAATAAATTAGCGTATTGCATGCTTTCATAAAAAGTACCCGGATGACTGCAATATTACGGTACCCGGTTGACTGCAATAATATTATTATTGCAGTCATCCGGGCATTTTCGCTGGTTCCCGCACAATCAAGAGCATAGAAAGTCACAGTTGTTAACCACTCAACAGAGCGTAGCGCGCGTACCGTCCAACACGGAACGCTGCGTGCAGCGGCAGCGCGAAGTAGGCCAGATATACGCGCACTGTTCTCTACAATTACAGTAGCTTCAAATAGTTTGACAAAAAAAGATGAAATGAAGACAGTGTCCTGAATTGTATTTCTTGCGGATCAAGTCAGCCTGATATAAGTAATAATAATAATATTGGATGGCTTTTTTTCAATGGATACAAGAATATATGGCACTCGCTATGACAATATTGCACTTGTCTTCGATTCGTGCAATATTGTCATAAGCCGTGCAATATATTCTTGTATCCATCTCAAAGCCATCCAATATTATATAATAATATTTTCTTGATGTCACGAGATATGTCCAAATTCTTTGTGTTCACTTTACTTAATTCACCTTATAGTAAAGCCTGTTAGCAATGCTGTTGCACACTGTACATGTACATGTAACTATAATAGCTTTACAACATACATGTATACATAATAGTTGCTTACAATGTATACAATTATGTATTAGTCCCATATTTATGCCTTCATTTTATCATATTTTATTGTATTGTATTTGTAAATGTGTGTATTATAAGTTATCCCGCGAACGCGAGTGGAACACGGAATAATGTAGTGCGTCTGTGGGACACAGACGCACTACATTTTCCGTGTTCCACGAACGCGAGCGTGATAACGAATTTATCTTCAAGCAAACTTGACGCGCAGTAAAGTTGGACCATCGCTTTACACGAACCTTCCAGCGGTTAAGCGCAGCGCATGCAGCTGGAATGTCGCTCGCATCTTGGAATGGTGCAATACGCAATACGCAGGGTGCGATATGGACCGTGCAATACAGCCTCATATCACACTGTTGTTGCCATGGATCGACCAATCAGGATCGAGGATACAAGTTTGCTTGAAGATAATATTGCATGCAGGGTCCCAATGGAAACCAGTTTTAAACTGTTTGGGCGAACACTGGGTAAAGAAATGGAATATATATATATATAAATATTTTTCAATTTATCTGAGTTTAAAACTGTTCAACAAGTTCAGAACTTTCATATCCAATTCACCTAAGTTTATTACTGTTCAACAAATTTTAAACTGTTCAAAAAGTTCAACAGTTTTCAACAAGTTTAAAAGAAACAGTGAACTACTAAAAATAGCAGCACTGACTGGTGAAGATTCACTCGTTGTCAAAATTAACAGATCCGGGGAAATGGAAGTCTGCAGGGATGGGATTAGTTTCTTGCATTTTGGCTGCAAGGTCATGAAGGTAGGCACTCAGTTGTTTTTGTTTTTGGTCTCATTATTAGTACGAACATAGTGCTTGAGTGACAATTCAGCTTCGTGTCTTGTGACTGCCATGATGTCATGACTGGCAAATCTGGCTTTGTCCAGCAGTGTCACAGTTGTAGCCCTCAGACTATGATAGGCGTATTTCACTCTGTAACCTGCTCTTTGGCAATGGTTTTCATCTTTGTATTAAATGTCTTAAGACTACCAGTGGTGCATTGGTGTACCTTGGTGTACCATGGCCCTGTGATAGAGCCCCAGGCTTCTATCATCAAAAGCACAATCTCCGATACTAAGGGATCAAAGACTGGTTTCTTTCTTTTTTATTTCAAACAATCACAGGGTAGATTTCACTTAAATAAACAATGGTGTGTTGGCAGTCTCATCTCATATGAGTATGAATATAATTTCAAGCCTTGCCAAACTGAACCTGAACCCAAACTCCAGGCTGACTTAGTGGATTGACTGCATGGTCTGAGAAATCACTTAAATTTCACGTGCAACTTTCAACAGCTTTGAAGTTTTTCTGTTGTAAAAATACTTTTTCATTCACGGTTTACTGTCAAATTATGTTTAATAAAAGAATGCCTGGCACAATCACCTACCGTATGTTTGCCACACAACAGTTCCCTCTAGTTTTTTTGTTTGAAGTAAGAACTCCTGCAAATCATACTTTTGTAATATCACTGTCCCTACTAATGACTAATAATCAGTCAAACATAATTTATAAAGCTGTTAAGAGGATTAACTTAAAATTTAAGATTTATATGAATTGTACTGGATTACTAAATATAAATCAATATAAATATTTACTGAATTTTACAAAATATAGGTAGAACAAGTACTTACTTTCTTCTGGAGTGAGCTTGGGAAACTCGTATATATGTTCACATGTATTCTTGCTGTTTGGAATGCAGAAACCAAAGTTGAAGTCAAACGTCTTCAGGCATCGGTCTTTGAAGTAGTGTCTTTCTATCATGCGAAAGTTTTTTACTGGTTTATCACCAACAACAAATTCAACTCTGTAAGAAAAAATAGTTCAATGTATTTGTTCTCTGTATTTGCAATCCAAGTCCATCGCATCAATCTTGATAAGAGGTCCAGTCTATTCGTACATATATAAATCCTGAATATATATCAAATACTTCTTCATATTGACTCTGAGTTTTCTAGGGTTTGACTGATGGCATTCCTCCAGGGTACATCCTCTTAAATCTATTTAAAATGTCTGTCCTTCATCACATACCGGTATGTAACACTTTTAAGAACAATATCAACCGTATTTTCTAAAATAGAAAACCAGTTATATCCTTTGCAGGTGAGGATATTTGTTCAAAGCTTGCAATATTTACACCAAAATTGAGAGACCAAGATCCTATGGTAGTTTTATCATCAAACTCAAAATGTCACACTTTTGAGCCCATTGTGTGGAATTGCCCATTTTCAAGTAAAAAAAACTACATTATTAAAAAAAATGGACAGCCCTACCACCTTGAGTGGCCACTGATTTTATGACTGGCAATTACCTTCATAAATAATGCAAAAAGTGCAAGTGAAACTTGCAAATACCCCTGGCATTTGTTTATACATTGAGTTAGTAAGCACACTTTGCACTTGACCTAGTCACAATAAACAATGACCCCATTTGACCTGTAGACGACCTTTGACCTCAAATGTCTGAAGACATCTGAAGTCTGCCGACCCAAAGATTGTGACAGCACTTTTCAGTTGACCTAACCAAAATCAACAATTACCTCATTTGACCCCTAGGTGACCTTTGACCTGAAGTGTCTCAGGTCATCTGAAGTCTCCCTACCCATGATTATTGTCACCAAGTTTGGTCAAGATTGAATTCAGATTTTTTTTTAATATGACAGCACTAAACAGTTAACCAAAATGGAACACATGGACATTCCAGCAGATGGGAATTCTGGTGTGTATGGACACACAGGCGAAGGGCGAAGGGACAGAGGGAAAAGCCAGGGAACAAAAAGGTCTTTAAAGAGAAAGTCGTTTTGTTATTACATTTTTTTTATTGTAGAGTAGACCCATACATGTATATCATAATGAAAAAAGTCCCATTCTTTTGTAATGTGCGTTTATATGTTTATAAAACTGAAATTCATCGAGTAATTTGTTGGTCGGCGAGCGCATTTATAATTGAAATCAACAGTTGTCGGGTTCTTCGTAAAATGAGAAAAATCGTGACGTAATAAACAGGACTCGTTTATACTACGCTGCATCGGGAGTCCTGTTTATTACGTCACGATTTACTATGTTTTGTTTGCTGCCCCCAACTACGACTTTTACACAAATTACACGTTCGGGTCGAAACAGGACTTGAAAAACAGCTCTCAAAAGTACCTTTTGTACTCATTTCATGACAGACACAATAGTCCTTTTTATTTCATTACACCTTAGGCTACATATACCCGAAAAATGATGGAAATGTCTTCGAGCATTCCACAACCTCTTTAACAAATGTGCCAGCACTTGAATTGTTCAGTTTGTGTTTTCACTTCCAGACATGCACAAATTCTCAGCAGCATGTGTACCTCACATGTGTATTCAAATATTGTACTGTACAACAGATATTTCTAAAAAAAAAATGCATTTTTATCTGTGTGCTCAATCATTAATTCAGTCACACTGATACCCATGTTACACTTCATCTGCATTCATGTATAATTATGTCATTAAATATTTCCAGGATGATCCACTGTTCATGCTGTAACCTGTAATATTCTTAACCTCTTTCAACCCTCTGCTTGAGTACCTTAATTCTGAATCTAAGTTGGGATACACAGTAAACTCCGGCTAAGTTGGCATTCTCGGGACCCGAGAATTTGTGACCACTAAAGCCAATGCCGACTTCTGTTGTAAGTCGTCATTTGGCTGACTTACAAATATATTGAATCATGGAGTAAAAAAATAGATTGAATGGCCTATGCACATCGGCATCTGGATCAATACTACAAACAATCTCCCATATGGGATCACAGGCTTCAATTTACCCTGGTTTATTTCTACATCCATGGTTGATTCCAGCAAATTTATCCTCAATGTTTATCATACATACAGGCTGGGTTATTGATCACAGAAAGTCATGCCCGTCCGTACACGTACGAAGCAAGGGTGGCCAGCAGTGTGGTGCAGAACGCTTGCATACATGTACGTGTACAGTGCAGTTACGAATTTATGCGTGCGTATGTACGTACATACGTTCGTGGTAAAATTCATTCAATAAGGGGACCCCCAAAATGTACGGAGCGCATACGTGCAGGATTAGAGCTTAGACGGAGTACTGGTATGGATGTGCTCACAGTACGGTTAATTCAATAAGGGGACCCCAAATGGACAGAGCGCATGCATGCAGGACTGCAGGTACTGAGCTAACTCCACTTAGTTTTATGTCAGCTGCTTAGTCCACATTCATGTGGGACGCGAGGAATTCAGAAACAACTCATCACAGTATTTGTTGTCTTTGGCTCCTTCAATATTTCACAGGTCTAGATCTGTTCTGGAGGTCTAAAATTTTGTTTTCCAGGCGACTGATCAAGATGAAGAGCTTCCACAGCAGATTTGAGGTTCGAAATATCCTTGTCAAGGCGAGATTCGTTAGATGACATGTCATGTAACTTTATCTATAGGGTGGAGAGTATTGTATTGATGGTATCAAGTTTAGTGATTTGTTTGTCAGGCTTGGCACTGATGTCGCATGTAGTGCCATGTTGGCAATGACAGCCATTTTGACCACCTACGGATCACTCCAGGCTAGTGATTTGTGTGTGGATGATTTTCCTTTTTCCTTGCTCTTTGTCTGAAATTAAAAATGAACTTTGTTGCACCTCACTTACTTTATAACAATGATCTTTCTTTTCTTTTTGCGAGGTTTGCATTTTTGAGGTAGGCATTAGTTTTAGTAGTTTAAATTTCATCTTCATTTTTTTTTTTCCATTTTTTTTTGGAAATCAGTGTACACAAATTTATTCAAACTAACATTAAACCAAAGATATTCGGTGCAAAGGACGCGAGAGCCATTTTAATTGGCTCCTTATTCAGAACTGTCCAAAAAAATGCAGAAACACTGCAGGGGTCTACAGACTTCACGCGGGAAGTGACATTCTTGTTGTTGGTATCCACCGCAGAGTAAGTTTGCTATTAAAAATTGTCTCAACTTATTAAAAAAAAAATTATTGAAAAACTGACTGCAAATCTCACCTCCTTGCCAGCACTCAGTTCGAGATGGTCAAGGGCAACTGAGGAAGGAATCAAAAAGCCCCGCTGGAGGATGAACGGAGCAAATACGGAGGATGAACCTTCACGTAGGCAAGTCAAAATGTACTCAGGCCATAACGATCTGCGAATTGCACGACCCAACGTCGCTTTTGGCTACACACAACATCTTCAACAGTGTCAGCCCAAGTCAGGCAAGCGGCAGGACGCCCTTGCAGCCGGGGTTCTCAGTCATCATATGCACCAGAACAAGCAAACATTCACGGCTCGTCAAGGTCAAGCACCGATCTTGGCAGAGTTCGTGAGAGCCAGTCGAGAGATTTGAGAACAACGGCCGGAGTCTGTTGAAGGTACACGGCAACTTCCTTCACTTGGGAACTTGAGAGAAGTCTGCCCCACTTAGGAAGCATGTGTCGAATACTGCCGAGGACCTCCTAGCATGTTCTCTCGTTGGCATCTTGTTTGGTGAAATTGTTATCAGTTTTATGAAAGAACTGCCTCATTTCTCAGCCTTGGGACCTTTTTCCGATGCTAGCCTCTGTGTAATTTGCAGAGGTGGAAGTGGGCTGGAGTCCGACTGATGGAAGTTGGCTTCTGCGGACGGACTTCTGCAGGTTGGGGTTTGCAATTTCTTCCCGACTCAGGAAATCCTCGACTGACACTGGGTTATACAACTTGAATGTTAACTGTGTGAGTTTTAACATTAAGAAACTGTTTGGCAGTGTAAAATGGGTCATTATTAAAAGACCAGCTGACATTTTGGCATTTCTCCCTCTTTTAAGCATGTAATTTTCACTTTTTTGCCCTTAAATTATTTACCAAGAAATTGTGTAAACAAAAATCTGTCCATAGCTCTGTGTACCGTATGTATGATAACCATCTGCAGATCAGCGACAAGACAAAATGTAAGGTTAAAGATATAGTCCATCATTTGTAATTCTTGCATTTTGTTCGTTAGAAGCAACAAAAGTGCTCAAAATCTAAAGAAGGGTACTGAACAACTAACCTGATGAAGTTTCAGCTCAGCTTCAGCTGTATATTCCGAGAAAAACAGCATTCTAGGATCTCATTTTCAAATCAAAAGTTGCTGAATCATGTTTTGAATTGGGCCTAAATTCAGCGTTCGAGACACGTTCTCACTGAGCCGATTGCAGCTACGCGATGTCGCGCACTGATCCAACGAATTATAGCAACCGCGCGCGTGTGTGCGTCGTGTCAACGCTTGTGCGTGCTTCGCCGAATAAAAACAACAAACTACTAACGGAAATTTCCAACGGTGCGTCTTAAGACACACCGTTGGAAAGGCCTTCTTTCGTTGATTACTTCAAAATAACAGCTTGCCAGAAAGAATAATTTCACAGGGAGTTTAGTCCCCTTACTATCTTTCAACCAAGTATGTTTTTCAACAATAATTACGCCAGTTACTTTTCAGATAGCTGCAAATGATGGACTATAGCTTTAAATTATAACACCCACTGTATGTGTTCTGGCATTCGACAGAAAATATACATCAATATATACTGTACTTTTACATGATAACATTGAGAAATTGACATCGTATCAGGAATCACTGGCAAACTAGAAAATTCCCTGCATGCGATTGAGAAAGCAACATACCGCGTTCTGTCTTGTTGGGGGATTTTTGGAGCACGGAAGGGCTTTGTGGCAATAACTGCTGTTTGTGTTTGTCTTAAGAACAAACAGGCCCTTTTTCAGTTTCTAATTTCAGCAAAGACTCGTAAGTTTTGGTTTGTGACTCTCTTCCCAAAACTAGTTCTAGACATTTTATGGACAGATCCATTTATATCCTCCTGTGCCTAATTTTTTTTTCGGTGTTTGACACTGTTTCTCCAATAAATTCTTAACGAACAAAATATGGTGAAGTGGAAGAACTAATTATCAAAAAGGGAAACGTTTCTGACTCCATGAAAAGTATTATTTGTAATTTTGGAGCAGTGGAAATACAGGGGAATTGGTCTTACGAAAGCACACTCCTTGACTGCAAATGGTGTGGGTCCAAAGAGCACTCAGTGTGTACCGTGCTGGCACTAGCACTACACACAGGGCTTGAATTGAATGACGGCCACGACGGCCAGTGCCGTCGTTGTCTTCTTACTGGCCGAGGTGCCCCACAAAAAATCCCTGTCTTCACGGCCAGTTTTTCCTTGCCCCATATTTACCTTGGCCTTCGTGCCCTTTTTGCAAAAACATCCATCAGCCTATTAAAACCACTACAATCCTTGATTTCAGTTGTATCAATCACAAGCGCGCAGCATATTACGGCCGTGGCCAAACACCGGGGATTCCCCATACACTGTACGTATGTACACACGATGTACACACACTGACAACTGAATCTCCAGTTCCTGTGTGCTGATACTTCAAGTAGCGACACCCCTGCCGCAAAAATATATGTAAGCATAATGCCTTTGATACGCTTGCAAAGTAATGACAGAATCAAATGTGTCATGTGAGTACTACATCATTCATTGTAGGGATAACCCCGATTTACTCAGTTGTGAGTGATCACATTAGAAAATATATACACTGCCTCTGTAATTGGCATTCATGTTCTGTCACTGTTACTATTAAATCCTTCTTCCTTACATTTTTATTGGGCCGTTTTTTAATAACTTGGATCACAAATTTTCAGGTGTGGGTGACTAGTGAATTTCAATAGTCACGACTAATTTCAGTAGTCCCGACTAGTGACGTCACATGACTAGTCGACTATTCAGAAATTGATAGTCCCAACTACCAACACTTTTTAGTATTGGCAACTAGTCGACTAGTCACACTAGTCGCACAGGCCTAGATCGCACATCACTAACCGTAAAGCCGCGTACAAAAAACATAATTTCTATCCAAAAAAAGTGTTCAAAATTACAAAAAAAGGTGTCATTTTAACTAAGAGAAGTCTGCTTTAGGTTGAAACGGTAATTGTTTGAGTGATAAAACTCACCTTTGACTCAAATCTGATCGAAAGTAAAAAGGGGTCCTAAACTACATGATCACCGATATAATTTTTGCATTTTTTAGCCAGCTTCTGTGCCCCCTTCTGCCGATTTTATTTTGGCGCCCTTGGTGCCCTCTATAATTTTGCTTCATTCAAGGCCAAAATGGTCTTGCCCTAAAAATTCCCAAATGCAAGGCCTGTACACAGCATGAAAACTCCATGTGTTTGCAGAGAATGCATATGGATAGGCCTACTCGCACGTACATTTGGATCGCGGTTTATTTCAGCTTCTCACCATATCGTCACCGACACCACGAAGTAACACTCTACAGTGTTAAAGCATATTTTTATCGATTTTCAGTTTTTTGGATTTTTAAACATTATTCATCAAGGCCTACCATTGCACGAAGTTTCAAAGCTTCAAGAGCTTTACTTTAATAATTACGCTAAGTATCCATGGCAACTTTTGCGCAAAAGTGACAATTTTCGTTTTCACGAAGTAACACTCAAGTTCCATTTTCCATTGCAATGCATGGCGCGCACTCTGCTCATAAGTGAGCAAAAACGTTTTCACGAAGTAACACTCTTCTTGTAACAAGTTGTATGAGCGCGCGCGCGCTGACCTGAAGTTGCACTTTCCTCGTGTTAAATACATTGAAGAGTGTTACTTCGTGAAAACGAAAATTTACAGTTTCGCAGCTTTTTCGGTTTCACGAACTAACACTCATCTTTTTTCTCTTATTTCTTGTTTATTTAATACACAAACGAGAGAAAAACAGCAGATTTACTAAATTCAATTCATCAAGTGTCCACAACGAGAAAATACTCTGTCGTTTTGACGCAAAGTGTTGTTTTAGAAGGCGTTCAACTTTAGTTGCCGTTTTCTCCGATTGCTAGTTTTTACTGGTATGTAGATGGGTGTTACTTCGTGGTGTCGGTGACGATATACTGTACAGCCTGAGCAAAAAACAAACCAATGGCTGCATTTTCTTACTAGCACGGGCAAGTTAAAGAGTACGCTTTACTAGCCTGCAGCAGTTTTTAATAGACATTGTACACCGGGCTAGCATTAAGGTAGAGGCCTTGGAATGTTACATTGTTTTGCTTTAATGTCTGTTCACATTGTATTCTCTGGAATCTTGAGGTTTTAATAACAGTGTCCCATGTTCTTGATACTGACCCATGCCTTGAATATCCAATAAAGACATGAATTAATCAAATAACTGAAAGCTGAATATCAAAATGAGCACTGTTAGACATGTACATTAAAATGTGTAAAACAACTTACGTTGCTCCAATGGTCTTCAGTTTAAGGAATTGAGGTGTAAACTGGTAGCGCACAAATCTGCCAGCATTAGGATCTGCATCATCAGGTTCTTGTTCTACATCGTCATCTTCCTCTGCAATGTGTTTTAGATTGTACTGAATAATTTGTTTATTGCTCCATAAAACATTCATTAGATTAAACAGGTGAATACTCATTATTTTTAAGGTAAAAAAAATTTAATTTTAAAGCCCCTTGAAAACAACTTACACCCAGAAATGTTGAACAGATATTTACAAAAAGGCCAATTTCTACATGAAGGTCAATATGAAACAGTACACAGTACCAGTTATTTGAGTTTATACCCACAGTTCCTTAAGTAGTTCACATGTGCTAAGCTGCGCATTTGTTCTTAGTACTTGTGATTGCACAACCCAGCAAGACCAACAGCATTTTTACAATTAAAATCAAAGCACATATAATTGTTTTTTTTTATATTACATGAGTATTTCAAGAAAGGCTTCATCACACAAAACACCTTGTGCTAATAATATGAGCAATGTCTTCCAGCATGAACCTTTGCTTTGTAAACTATTAATACATAGAATTTTACCTGATGGAGGTGGCTTTGCTATCTCAAAGAGGACTGTTGCAGTATCCATGTCTCTTATTTTGAACCTGGTGAAGTCTATATTGTATATGTTAGCATCTGGATCACATAAATAGTCTGTTGAGGAAAAACAAAATGAAAAGTGATGGTACACCGTGCTTAAAAATATGATCTATGTTTACTCCATCATCTTGTCAACCTGTGTTGAATTATCCAGCAGGTACTGTGTGACATCCTTTTTGTATACTAGTGCAGGGCCCGTTGAAAATGTGTCTGTTTGGAAGGGGCAGAGAACTGCTCATTCAAACAACACACACGACATGTTGCTTTCACAGGTTAAACGCACATTTGTAGGTTAAACGCGCACTTTGTACACGTCGCCATCCCCTCGCCATCCCCTGGCACTGCATTTACCCATACTGGACTATTACGTCCTACAGTAAAGGTTGCTCAGTCGGTCGCCTACCCAGTCGACTACAAAATATGTACCCGTGCAGCCTCTCACGTCCACCTACGCGTACAACCGTGCAGTGCCCGTCTTAAATGTGCATGTTCAGGAAGCGCAAATTGCTTTGCCGCTGGTATTGGTTGCATGCTTGCAGAGTTTTTGAGAACTGCTCGTGCAAACAACGCACGCGATTCAATGGTGTTGTTTTCACAGGTTGAACGCACACTCACGTCAAAGTTTGTGCCAAGTTTGAAGTTGTTTGGGCGAGTGGTTCTCAAAAAAGCTGCAAAATAGCGCAGATATTATTCACCCCTACTGGACAATGGTATCGCCCTGCAGTAAGGTTGCTCAGTCGACCGCCTACAATGGTCGCTCAGTCGACTGCAAAAATAATGTGCCCGTGCAGCCACCACGTAGGTGTACATACGGAAACACGTGCGCGTGCCCGTCCTTTTATCATTGTTTGCGTCATATTGAGCACGCGCGCTTTAGCTTAAACATGACGTAAACAATTGAAAAGAACATCAGAGCGTGGTGGTCTAGGCTATATACTGGCACGTTTGCCTCAGAAAATATTACTCTTTTTTGGCAGCTTTTTCGAAAACCGCTCGTCCAAACAACTTCAAACTTGACACTGTACTTTCTGTTGTCCCAACTTCATACAGTGCCCGGTTCTGGAGATAATCAGCGTACAGACAGACAGACAGACACACACACAGAGATTCCTGGAATTATAGTAAGGATGTCCTCCATAATTTCCGATTTTCTACACAGGCACAGGCTTGTAACCCTGGTCCCAATCAGGGCTGGATTTTACCCATGTGGAGTACTGGATCCATGGTGAAGCCATGTGGGTTTCTTGCTATAAATGTAAAATTATTGACTGTTACGCTACGTGGAACCATTACATGCAACTGCAAACACAGTTCACCAAATAAAAGAAGAGCATGTACATTTACAAATCCAGAAATCTCTGTGTGTCTGTCTGTACATCGATTATCTCCAGAACCGGGCACCGTATGAAGTTGAAAATTGGCGGGTATATTGCTCAGGACACCAGAATGTACAGTGCCAAGTTTGAAGTGGTTTGGATGAGCGGTTCTCGAAAAAGCTGCAAAAAGCAGCATTTTCTGAGGCAAACGTGGCAGTATGATAGCCTAGACCATTACGCACTGCCGTCCTTTTCAATGTGACGCGCACTGCTGTCCTTTTCACGTCATGTAAGCTAAAGCGCGCGTGCTCAATATGATGCAACAATGGAAAAAAGGACGGGCACAACATAGAGCTACATGTATATAATACACCGTTCCGGGTTTCGCGCGTAAGCCCCGCCCACCATAGCAACGGCGTAACAACGCGTAAAAGTCAGTGAATGTTTGAACTTTGAACGTGTAAACAAACATTTGTACAAACGTGCCCGCAAGATGAAAACACATAGAATCGAAGTGTTACCAAAGGCTGTAAATGTAAGTTTTTTAATTGAGAGGGGGTCAGCAAAAGGGAAAAGGAGCGAGGCTTCAATTACTTTATGAACAGTTATTTGCACAAAGTGCAGTTTGAGATTCTGAAGGATGATGAGGTGGCGGTACAAGCTAAATGCTTCAGGTCCATGAGGAAAAATGAAAAGCCGCATTCACTCAATATGTGCATCCTAAGACATTCAAGAACCGTGTCTGAGAGTAGATGCAGCTCTATGGGGCACATGCATTTTGCGGTCAATTAAGGAACCCTCACTGTAGGGCGATACCATTGTCCAGTATGGGTGAATTGACCACCAAGCACTGCATACCATTCATTTTTTTCTCTGGCCAGCCGTATGTACACATACTAACATGTGTGACTGCACGGGCACCTGTATTTTTTGCAGTCGACTGAGCAAACATCACTGTGGGTCGACTGAGCAACCCTTACTGTAGGGCGATACCATTGTCCAGTATAGGTAAATATCTGTGCCCGTCTGCGGCGCGGCGATGTGTACAAAGTGTGCATTCAACATGTAATGTGCATTGACCTTCACCGGGGGGCTATTCCATTGAATCACTTGCATTGTTTGCACGAGCAGTTCTCAAAAGCGCTGCAACTTAGCAACCAATACCAGCAACCAAGCAATTTGCCCTTCCCGAACATGCACATTTTAGACAGGCACTGCACTAGTGTATTTCAAACAGCAGCTTAAGCTGTCATGTACCTCAATAGTCAGAGTCTTTTGGTCTGGGAACCTACCACAGACACAGTCTATAGTTGTTGTTTTTTGGTAGCACCAAGAAAATGCTCTGGAGGGGGTGGGTGGTTCTGGGAGAGGCTGGGGGTATGGGCTCGGCATTCCAATCGGTGCGCTCTGGTTGTCATCAGGAGATCGTCGTCTCCTGATGGCGACGGGGACATACTGGTCGGGGCGTCGGGTTGGTGCCTGTCAATATTTATGTTGTGTCCATGGGCGGAAATCCCGGGGGGGACAGGGGGACACGTCCCCCCCATGAATTTGGTAAGGGGGGACACAATGTCGAATGTCCCCTCCATGTTTTCATGTGTAGGTATGGGTGGGTGACCAACCATGGCAGAGTCTTAGGGAAAAGCCTCCTTGATACGTCGCTTTGTGGCTGAGAACCAATTTGGTTTTCTTGTTGGTTCGACCAAGCTCTTGTACACCTACCCACGTACATGTACTGTACGTGCGTGTTGGTTCATGCGGTATACGTTATACACAATGTTGCCTGCGTACGTCATATAATTTGCTACTCCTATACAAATTCGGCCCCACTCCGGCCCGCAATTGCTATGGTAGACTTGATGACAAGTCGTTAGACTATAGTGGTTTATGTCCGTCATCGATCAGCGCCAAAATCCGCATACCATTGCCGTTCATGCAACGTCAGCGCTACAACCATTCATGCAAAAGTCATGTACTAACGCGCGGCATGGTCAGTCCGTGTCTACGTCTAACGACTTGACTAAGACGTTTTCAAGCGAATATTCATATATGCAGCCACTGCAATGCATATGCATGACGTTTCCATAGCGAGGGCCAATAGTAGCCCATCTGGCTTACGAAGAAACACCAAATATGGGGGTAATTATTACACGATCATTTTCAAGTTTCCATTTTATTTGACAGTCCTGTTTTTAAAATTACAGTAAAAAAGCGTATAACATTGTAGATAATATTACTACTTTTGCAACTGTCTTTGAAAAGGAGTAATATTTAAGTAATTATGGAAGTTGAAACTGTTATGAATAATTGTAAATCCCCTTCAAAAAATGAAGTGCGCGCCGACTGTAAACGTAAGCTCTTTTTGGCCCATGTGGTTTGATGTAGTTTAACTAATCACCCTGAAAACGAACTCGTTCGCGGTTTGTGCCCAATTTTAAGGTTACAGAACCGCAATGACAAAATGCCTGATGCACACAATGAGGTTTAGAAATATATTGTTGCATTATCAAGGGGGCCATGACCCCCCCCCCCCCCCAAAAAAAAGAAACCAAGGTTTTTTTTTATGTGACATCGCAATAAAGGCAGGCAATGAGTACACCCCAATCTTTTCCTCAAAAAAAAAATTGGTTAAAGTGGTCAGAAATTGCCTCAGATCGCATCACAGAGCATAATTTTTTGGACCCACTTTTTTCGGGGACCAAACTTTTTTTTGCCCGCCCCCCAAAAAATTGTGTTCTGGATCCGCCCTTGCGGCGGACGCGATTAAAACCACTCATTACAGACTTGATTTCAAGTCTATCGCTATGGCTGCCATACCCCATGGCAACATTACGAGTGGAAAGTTGTCCTTGTGACTTTTTGTGAGTAATATAATTTCGGGGAGAAAAAAAAAACCTGTCCTCCCCACGTTCAAGGAGCGATTTCCGCCCTTGGTTGTGTCTGTTCATCTTACACATGCATAAAGATTTTAGCCTGTCAGTCCGTTCATTTGTCTTGTCTGTCTGTTGTGTGTGTCTCTTAGTCTGTTGTCTACTTCTCTCTGTTGTGGCCGTCATGCTATTTACATTCTGTGCCGTATGTGCTGTGTGTTAGTTCATCTGTCTGTCCATCGTGTGTCTCATGCTTAATTGTCTGTTTTTGACAGTTTGTCTTTTATCAACCAGTATGTGTCTTGTCTACTGTTAGTCTGTTCATCTGTTCGTCTAGTGTATGTTTCCCACGCTGTTGTGTAGATGTAAGTCTGTTTACTTGATTGATGTTCTGTGCCCATCCGTTTATATCTGCCTGATTTAGATCATTTTAATTTGTACACCTCTTGTATTTTAAATTTTAACTGGTATATCTGTATTTATGTAAAGCACCTTGAGCGTCAATTTTTAACCTGGTGCTGTCATGCTGTATTGCATTAGTGTGTTTGTAGGGCTGTTCATCAGCCTGTCCATCCGTTTGTCTCATTCTTATTGTCTGTCTTGACAGTTTTGGCTGTCTTTTATCAACCAGAATGTGTGTCTTGTCTATGGTTATTCTGTTATCTGTCTGTTTTGTGTGTGTTTCCCACTGTTTGTGTAAGTCTTTTTTAAGTCTCTTTATCGTGGTCGTCTCGCTGTTGCTTTACTGTGTCTGTCCGTTTTAACCTGCCTGCTTTAGACAACTTATTTCAATTGTTCACCTAGTTATTTTAAGAGGTTTTTCTTTGTATAAGTTTTAGTTAGTTCTTAAATTTTAACTGTTCATTTT